TTCACCTTATTAGTTTCGCCTCTGAAACACAATTCAATATTACTCAAAAAAATTTTTTCCACCATTGCCATTGAATATACACAAATCGCACTTTTTGATGAAGGTATCGTTTCCTCTAGACTAGATCCTTTCACAAACACCCCATAAAGAACATCATCCTCAACACTGAAAAGAAGACATGCTGCAATATGGAAAAAGATGAGATTACAATATTCATTTTACTGTTCTTACATTGCAAATAACATACGTGTTATTTATCTTTCAGAACTAACTAGAAAGATGGAAAAATTTTTAAAGCATCGAACCTTATACCCAAAGACAATGCCAAATCGTATCCTGGTTTCGATAAATATACATCCTGTACAAGATTGTAGAATTCATTTCCGTGTGCACACTCAAATGGTACTTCTGTATAGCTCCAGAAATGGGCATCACTAGTACAGACTCTGACCATTTTGGAAATATAGGGCCAGGATCCCTGTGTTGTATCCCCTTTCGGTTGTCGCGTTACAAAATAAGCAAATTTACCACTTTGGAATCCACCAACATAATCTATTCTGAAATACAGTACACTGACCATTTTGTATTATTCTAACATCAATAGACATCAAAGGTAAGACTAACTTATACGGTCCTCGAAACTTCCGCTCCAATTTGATTTCTGTACCAGTGCCCACTCCCTGCGCAGAAATATCAAAAAGACGATTTTGATCAAGTGACAAGGATGCAACTGCCGGGACGTCATCACGAAATGGTCCGCCATTCTGCACAAAAGTTGAAGCCACATAAAGAACATCACCTAAAATTTACTGAAAGAACTATAAACATACTTTTTTAACGCAATATTTCCGAAAATTGATGACATTTTAAAACTAGTAGTTTTAAAACGCTAAAAAAAAAAAAAAAAAAAATCTGCGTGATAAAACTGTCGAGACAGTAACTCTGTATGTTATCCTGGCTCGTGAAAGTTCCGACAAATATCACAGTTGATGAATTCTCATCATTCGCAACAACATGTTGTTGCGATTCTTTGATTACATCTTTTTGATCAATATTATATAAATTGCGCCATCGACACCGACCCTAGAATTTTTTCAAAAAATGAAGTGCTACATAAAATCCTATTAAGGTGACGTACAAAGAAAAGGAATTCCTTAACGGCATGAAAGTGTTTCCAAATTTTATTAAGGTCTTAGGGATTAAATGATTTTTTTATTGTAATCATGGCAAGAATTGTAAAAGTACAACTGAGAATGAAAAAATATAAGACCTGGAAGAGGCTCGTACATTCGATTAATTTGGAACTTCTTTCATAAACAGCCAGACCCTTTGTATAAGAATTTTCTGTTTTCCTGCGCACATTTGAAGATAAACAAGAAGCTTTATCTAAAAACAGTTACCCCATATCCACAATGCACATGAATATCTCATTTTGTCATGAATATCAATTCACAATGTGTTGATTTAACCTTTCTATTCATTTTTAAATAAAAATTTAAAAATTTTGTGAGATGCAACATTCCCTTAAGTCATCAGTACACTAGAACGACTTTTATAGAAAGCTCTGAATACAACTGAACTAAAAAATCCTATACTGTTTTTAGTTATGGCAACAAGTCACTGTCTATAATCCCACTACTATGATACACATACTTTTACATAAATAGGACGCGGACAATCAACAACATAAAATCAAACACCTTTCATAAATATGTGTCACGACATTAATATTTTGACTGTAAGATTATTTCTTCAAAATTTCTCGCAAATCTCAATTAGAAAATCATTTCCGCAGTTAACTTGTGGTGCTCCTCACTATCCCATTTACATGTACTGCAAATTAAACACGAAAATATACTTGGACATTCAACAGAGTCTTCTTCTGGGCCAGTTGAAGTGTGTACTTTAACACTAAGATCTGGATGGTTTAAGTCGTAGAGACTGTTCACGCCACCAACATATAAACGACCTGTAGATGGATCGATAACCTAAAATTTTAGATGCTTAAATAATTTCAAACCGAAGGAGTACTATTTCAAAGGAACTTGTCGTCTGTTGTGCTCAACTGATGACTTTGTTTCTTTAAGTACAATATTAGCCGTTAGCTCGAACTTTATACAATGAAGAGCCATCTACAAAAATGAAAATGGACAAACATTGAAACTGAAAAAACTTCAACTTGGATCAAAAAAAGTCAATTACAAAGGGACAAATGTAATCCAAGTAAAGGACGACTAAAAAATGGAAATTGCATCTCATGTTACATGTAGTAGAAGTTATGTAACCTAAGATGTCACAATTAATTTTTATGATATCGCACATTTCTCATCCTCCTTTCTTAACTACAGAAATCGCTTCACAGTTAAGTACCACCCAATATATATATATATATCAAAAAAAAATTCCAGTTTCAAAACAATACAACCTTATACTTGTTAAGGCAAGAAACAGTTATTTGATCATTTGCTACAATAATTTATCAATTTAAAGCATTCTTAGTAAATTTTAGTGCAATCAACTCATACAAAAAGCTAGACTCAACAAATAGATCGTAAATGGAATATCCCACTTAAAGCATGACCTCTGCGATGATTTTCGAAAATAGTATAACAAACCATTTTTTCGAACGGAAAATTTTCGCTGTGTGCATTTGGGCTGATGAATTCGGCAACAACATCTTCTGAAGATGGGCTGGTGCTTACAAAAGCGATTCTGTTGATTAATAGTTGGAGAATAAGCTGTATGAAAAGGAGACGAATCAGCTTGCGGAAAATCAGTATCAGATAAAGAAGGTGCAAAATGTATTGCAATAACTGATGGCGCATCACATGTACTGCCACACTTCATTTCATATCAAAATCAAAGCAACTAAACAAATAATTTTCGAGTGTTGACGACTGCTTAACGCTTCGTCCAAATTTCCAGGACCTCCGTTAAATACTTATTCTTGCTCTTTCGTTAGATACCTAAGAATAAGGAAATTTTAAGAAATACAAAAAACAATGTTTATACATCAAACGCAAACGCTGTCAATAATTTATTCTGCTTTACAACAATTAATGGCAAGATAGAACAAAAAGATATGCTGCCAATGTTTCAAGAGCAAAAATAGGAAATCGAATCTGTGATTCCCATTCAACACAAATTACAAAAACTATCCAAGACTCACAAATTTCAGATTCTTCAATCGACAGTTACCACCAGATTCTTTATCGTGAAATCAATTCTCTATGGATTAGCAAAACATAAATTCTCCCCCCGGCCAGTTTAACAATACTTTAATCATTTATTATAATGAGTGTGAGCACTTCCCAACCAAACAAGTTCTTGCAAAACGAAATTTATTAAAAGCAACTGCTGCAACGACACCATTTACTACAGGAAACAATGCACGATTTATCTCCATCTTTCATCATAATATTAACGTTATTTCAACAAATGCTTCAGTTAAAAAAAGTTTATATCTTAATCAATTTATCTATATCACTTTCTGGTAACCATTGCGGCTGTTCATCTTTAATTAGAAATCCAAAGTATTTTTGAATGAAAAATTAAACATAGCAATGAGCATTAACTTATTATAAAAAGTTCGGTATTTGAGTTGATGGACTTAGGCAATATTTCGAAACTGCAATGAAAAGCACTAATTTTTTGCATCCACGTGCATTCAACAAAATAACTAGGAAGAACTATTTGAATGCAATTACTCAATCATTAAATATACTATTGCCGCATTTTTACAGACAAAAAATCAGATAATTCTAAAAACCAAAAACTTCTAAAAATCCAAATCATTTAACATAATAACCTAAGCAGAATCAACATGGCGCCGCTGAATTGAACAACTAAACACAGTAATTTTGAGAGTTATAAAATATTTCTGGTTTATCAGCACCTAGAATTAAATGACAGCTATTAATATAGTAAGGCAACAGTTACAACCCTAACCTATTTTTAAAAGTTAACATGTACTGAGAGTTCGATCGATATCCATGAGCTGCAACTTATTACCTATTTCTAAATTTGATGAATTAAAAACGATGACAAATTCCGTGCTGATGAAAGAAAAATTCCAGAAACGTACGTACACCAGTTAAGAACAGAAATGTGTTTGGAATAACTACAAAAAGAGGAAGTGCTGCAGGGAGAGATTGATGAACATGCACCGTAGAGGAAGACTAAGAAAAAAACGGCATCCACTAACCGAATCTGAGTGATACCAGACAACTTTTACTAGCTTCCGCTTTTAGATATTCAGTGAGCCATATTAAAGAACACGAGAACTGCTAACGATATAAAACAGTAAACTGAAGATATGATAGTTTGTTAAAACAAATGCATAACCAACCATACGTCGACCATATAGTGCATCCTGATTCGCTTCACTAATTCACTGCATTTTACTTTTACTATGTTCAGTTGAAACTTTTTTAGCAATAAGTAAACCCAACTAGCAGCACTTCCCTGAATTACTAACATTTTATGACATTTTGCTTTTCTTCCTTCTTGCAATACTCACTTTATGTAAAATAAAGAAAATGTCATCCATTTTGCATTCGCACGCTAACTGCCTTTTCAGGCTCCATCACAAAGAGACTTGAAATCATTCCTACCTAATGAAGCAATCAGTAACTAACTAAAACGAAACTATACGAATGTTGGTTTATACGTAAAAGAAAACAAATAGATAAAAAAGTCGTTATAGCACCTCTGAATAATGAAACGGATAAATAAGCTGCGTGATCGCACTTTAGTTAATGTAATTTCGACTAAACAAAGTCTCGTGAGAATGGGTCATTGAAACTAGTACAGGATTTAAATACCGATCATTCAGGACTACATACATTATGGTCATCACAAAACAAAGACAACGTGAAAGTTCTACCGAAATGCTCATTAGGAAATTTAGAACGTTTTAAAATTCGTATCGTGCGTCAATTGGTCGAAAAATTTCCGCCTAGAACTTTTTTTATTCCTTAATACAAAAATAAATGTCAACTCTAACATAGAAAACAATGTAAAATCATAACAAAACAAAAAACAGAAGTTAGATGACAATCAATTCTCTCAGCACTGTCAGTTAAGTTCATATCACCTGGATTTCATTAATTTTTAAAGTTGTCTTCTTACTTTCCAATACAGTCCAATGCAGTCAATTTCCATATACAGTTTTGTAGTTTCTTCATTATTTATTCTGAAGAAAGCCTCCAGAAAAATGCTCTATTATAAATGAAAAAGTAAAAACTATTTAGATTTAAATTAGAAACAAAAAATCATTCAACAGGAGTTGCAAAAGAGCAATGAATAATGATTGGACCGTTGAAAGCATGATAATTCATAACAAATCATCCTCCACTATTCATTTATAAACTCTAAAGAAATAACCAAAACATACAAAACTGTAAAATTTTTGAAATATTCAATAAGAAATTTTCAGCACTAACCAGATATAACCTCTACAGTGACTTGATGCTCTTTAAAGCCTTTTAGGAATGCTATCATTCTACCAACGTTGTGGAGTGGGAGAAGGGCTTGCGCACAAACAAATATCGACCTAACACCGATGAAGTCGCTTCCATCCAAACTCATCCGAAAACACCCTACAACATTCAACCTAAATGATTACGGTATTTTCTTCAGTCTCTGCTTTCAACTCTTGGAGCAACATCGAGTCTATATCACTAACTTACAATTCCACACGTACCATTTACCTAGTCTTCGGACCAGATAAATGTCCTTATAACAAATCTTCCCACCAGTTGAAATGGTTTAGTAGTTAGATTTGAATTAATAAAGCAATTCAACGTGAAAATGAGTAAAGCCCTTTGTTACTGGTTCATCGGAATAGAGAATAAATTATTATAGGGGAAATTTCATCTTGAATGTCGACGAAAATTGAGCTACAATATAGCGAATTCTACAAACATATCAACAGAAAAACGGTGGTGAATGAGGTTTGCACTTGTCATTTGTTAATCGCAGCACAACGTTATGACGACAAGTGACATACACATACATGCATTTATGCACGCACACAATTCAAGAACACAGTTGTACGGTGTGGCTTGTAGTGCTATGTTAGTTATCAGTGCTTTTAACATCACTATTCTCTAACAGCAATAAATTCTATTTTGCCAAAATATATGAAGGTATTTTTCGGTCGTCGTCCCAGGTTCATTTTACACTACCGACTATAGACTTCATCATGACCACACCTCATCATCTTCCCCATAGTTCCGGCCACAAATAAGACAAAAACAAAATACACTAGGCAACTCCGAATGAACGAAAAATTTATCTCGGGAAGTATGTATTTAGAGGTTAGTTATTATGCTGCACTTAGCTCGCCTATGTGATTTAGCCAGCATGTGCCGCAGTACAACGACATACTTCGAGGCTGCCACTAACTCTGTCATTATGGTATAAGGTTTACTCAGGCAAAAGCATACAGTTGGACTTAGTTCGCAAACAGGACAGCAACTACATGACTACACAACGATTGACTAATTTTTTGAAATCACAATTAAAGTGTCGAAAGAGATTAATGATGAAAGATTCGGTACAAGCGATAAAACCTGAAGCTGAAGAAAAGTTCTTTACTATTCCAGTTTCATCATTCATGCAGTCAGACACTTCAAATATCATGAACAACAATAAGCGTACATCTTGCCACACTAAAAATCTTCGTAATAATCATAAGGTATTCTCTACGTTATCAATGACTAGAAAGAAATGTAAGTGCAGACATCAGTAAATTGATTAGGTGTTCCGAAAAGAAATTTTCAACAAAGTGACCGTCTGTCAGAGGATGTACGCATTTCTAAGGAAACTAAATTTCATTACTTCATAGTAAAATAGCTTGCAAAACATGAGAATGGCAACTTATGTTACATTTCGTAGCATCAGTTCGTAACCTCCAGACTAAGCAAAAGGGTTCGGAAGCGATATTCGAAGCACGCTTTCCAGTTCACATGATTGTATGTCAGCAGGTTTAAATGTTAAAGAAATGAAGACAGGAAAGATAGATACTTGAAATACTGAGGAAAAACTGCAACTTGATGGAATCAGTTCAGGGAGGGTTCGATCGATGAGACCTTGCGTGACACAACGCTACGATTACTCGACCCTACCGACCAATGAGTGGATAGGCGAGAGAACAATAACGATAAAGGGTCTTCCACCCTTCACATACTAGACAGACAATAGTCACACCTGTACAATATGCGTGTAATGCAGTCTGCACATGCACACAGAGACATACACAATCATGCACAGACCTACTAATGAATCAATAATGTAAGGGTACTGGCCATACACATACAGACAGTGAATGAGTGAGTCGGTTGATGATTGGACAGACGGGTATGTAGTCAATCAGCTGGAAGGATAATCAGTTGGTGGCATTGGGAGTGTTGGGATCTAACTTTCCAGCCATTAGTTCAAGATTGATTCGTGGCTGTTGAATGGTGCCACTCGGGAATTGGGCTTAGGAAGAGCTTTTATAAGGAGGGAGAGTGAATAAATGTTTCGTCTTTCTTAGTTTTTGTATATACGCTTCAATTCGGAGAGCTAACTGTGACTAAACTCACCTGATCGATGGGAAGTACCACTTGTGGCACTTTTGTTAAGACAGAAAAGTGGACTATTTCACTTCATTGTGTTATACTTTCCACTGTAGAAACGGTTGAAGAACCGGAATGATTCTTATACCTAAAAAATGCTGAGGTGATCAACCTAATTACTTCAGTGAAGCGGATAAGAAAGGATGGACTAATGAAGCAAAAACTGAATAATTTTTAGCGATCTCTGAGAATAAACTATAAGCAGGGATTAAATGCTAGCAATGAGTGGTTGATTTAGATTGCTTTTTATGGCCAGTGTTGTTTATATCTGATAAGAGATCAATAATACTGTAAGCAGCAGACTTACGAAAACCTGTAAGTAACCTCGAATGCATGAATCAAATGTTGAGTTCATGTTGATAACACAGGACTAGAACTCGATAATTGGTAGGAAACAGTTGGTCTTTTGCGCTCATTAACGGCAACCTCCCTTATTATCCTACTTCAGCTGTAATAGGAGAATGAATTTAATAATTCAGCGGGTTTATTACCTGAATTGTGGACATGGCGATAGACTTTTTTCTCCTTTAGAAACCTTTTAATCGGTAACTTCCCATCAAAAGCATCGTGTTGTGTATTGTATTGCCAAAAATCCTAGAACTTGACTGCTCTTCCGTTACATTCGTCATTGTTGCTAATCAAACCCGATTGTTTTGCCTTCCGGATCTTTGTCGTTACCAGAATGAAATTTTAGAACAAATGTGTTACAAAAGTTTGCTCAGGTGAAAAATCTCATCTCCCCAACCGGAAAAAGTTTGCAACTTGTGAAACAATCCAAACGAGAGTAACGAATTCATTTTCTGAGGATGTCTTTTCCTCCTTCAATATATCATATTTCTAGAAATGATGAAAACTAAAAGAATTAACAAGAAATAAACAAAATGATTTTTAAAATTCATTTTAAAAGACGTCTAGGAATATTGTGCTTATCACATATTTTTAATAAAAGTATATAATTATCAGTACAAGTTAGTTAAGTTAGGTCTGGCTAGTTTTTTTTTTGTTTATAATTAGTGTGAAAATGTATTTATTTGTCCTTTTGTTTATAATTACTACTATAGCCATCGCTAACAGCGTGCTGTCTTGGTTTACAAATTTCTTCAAGCAGGTCAACCAGTAGTAACTTATCTTTCTATTTTTTATGTTGGAGTTAGGCTGCAAAAGAAGTATGTATATGAATTATATGAAAAAGTGTCTACTTTGAATAAATAAATTTGAAATCTGTTCATTTGGTTGTGCCATCAATCGGAAACGTATTGCCCACTGATAAAGCAGTCATCTCTTTCCCACCACACTGTTTGCAATATGACTTTTGCTGAAACACATAATCATTGCTCAAATATTGGTCAAAATTTCAGTTAAGTGCAAACTTTTTTTTTCTACGCATAAATCTACTGATATAACTAAATGCTTCGCAGGATTTAAATTTATCTTTACACGTTCGGAAAAAAATCGTACACAAGAGATGGATTGAGATTTTTGATTGTAAGGGAAATTTCCTATTATAATTTATGCAAAATTAAAAAAGAAACTACATCTAACACGTCTGAGTTGTAGAAGTAGGGAATGGAAACTTTATTCTAATAACTTCTTCATTATCATCAAGAATGTCATTTCTTTGTCTTATCCTGCACATATTGTTTAACTGAATTTTGGAAAAAAATAACTGCGTGGAATGTCATTGCAAGTTATTTAGAAATTCTTCATTTTAAAACATTTATGCAGTTGTATAAATTTTCAAAACTCGAGCAACAGTAAACAAAAGTCTAGAAAAGATAAGGCACAGGACAGCAATTTTCGAAATTACCCGACTTAATTGGAATTATTTCATTTCAAGGCATAAGAAAAAATGCTGCATTGCATTGGATGGTCTGAAAAGACTCCGTAAGCAGAGTCAACTTTTCAAACGAAAGAAATTGTTCCAACTAATACGCTGTGCTAATGTAAAAATCTTAAATAGTAGTTAAAATTGAACTGAATATGGAATATTAACCAAATTTCTAAAAGTATTTCTTTATGCGACATTTAACCACTTTGTTATAAAATCCAACATGTGCTATTTGTTAACCTATGTTAGTTTCCAAGTTATATTGTTTTAAACTTTTGAGTACATCAAATATCAAACTGAAATAGTTGTAATTGTGACTTCATTTTAAATATTTTTTCTGACTACCAGATATAATATTTTCTTTCAATCAGTTTCGACAGAACGTAGAAAGAAAATGGTCGGTATGTTATCGGGTCGATATTGATGCTTAAAGCAGATAACACATCAGCTGAATTCAAGTAAGCTTAATAATGAACCAAATTTTTGCTTTCCTCTATAATCAGAACAATCTACCGGTACAGATAGGGAAGGAAAAGTAATCACTGTTAGAAGAAAAACGATGATCTTGTGATTCATTTAAAAAAAAGACCTTAATTTATTTAAAGCATTTTCATTGATTTTTGTTTCATTGATCTTCATAAAAAACGCTTAAAACGTTAATCTGTAAGTAGAGAAAATTCATAAATTAAAAGTTAACGATAATTGTCAACAACAAAGGGTACAAGATAAGGAAGAAAACATTTGCATAAGCGAGAGGGAATCACTGATTGAAGGACAGCAGATCCACTTAAAATTGTTAGTGAGACACAGCTAATTGTGTGATTGAGATATGGAGGGATGCTATGTGAAGGTGTCAAGTTTTCAGGATGTAAGCAGGGAAGGCATGGTGTTTGAAAGACACCCACTGAACTCGTCATCATCATTTTGAGTTTAAGTGGATTTCGTGGGGTGAGGATTTTCACTCAGGGGTGGCAACTATTTACCCATTTCAGGAGAGTTCTTTAACAGAAGATCATTTTGTTGAGAAGACCAGAAGATTTAGAAATTGCTTGTAGAATTAGTTAAGTTGAAATCAACTATACTGTAATAATGGTTTTGTGTCTATTAAAAAAGAAATTTTATCAGATTTAGTAGGAATT